TGTCCCCAGCGCCGGCTCTTCTCGCTGTGCAGCCCGGCTAGCAGGGCTCACATCGGGCACCGACTGCTCCAAGTCCTGCTCTCCTAGCAGTACTTGGGCCAGCCACACAGAGCGAAGCAGGGAGACCACGCGGAGGGCCCAACTTCTTTCCTTTGCACCACCTTGCCCCAGCACTTTTCCTCCCAGCCAGGCACACGCTGTTGGGGGCAGAAAGCAATTCAGTCTCCACAGCCGGCTCAGTGCCTCTCTGCCCTAACAAAAATCAGCCCAGCTGGCACAGCGGTTTTGGAAAGCAGACATCCAGCCTGGTGTACAGTCCCCCTTGCCCCCCTGCTGCCTCTCACAGTAGTTGCAGCAATCCCAATGATGCAACCATCAGGCACGGCTCCACGCATGGAGCCATAAACACCATTGTCCAAACGCACCCTGGAAAGCTTTTCCAGGGGGGAATATACTCGGATTCTCATCCTGTGATTTGCAGGCCGCAAAGCTGTTACCATCAGCAACCCTGCCCTTTAGCTTCTCTCACTGAGGGAGGGGAATCCCACTCTTTCAAAAAGGTGGGAGGGTAGGAAGAAGTTAATTGAGTTGAGGGTTTTTTTTTTCCCATTAAAGAAAAAAAAAAAAAAAAAACAGTTGAAAAGGTTCAGCAAGTCAGAATAAATCTTAGGGGAGGCTGATTTAGTGAGCAGAACACAAGTAAACACAGGCGACACGTGCAGTGATTACAGCAATCTATCACCACGCAAAACTCAGCAATGCAGGCACCACAAGGAGCTGCAGCATCTGTATCCCTTTCCTTCCCCTCTCTGCTGGGGGGGAAAGCTAAAGAGCCCTTTAATATTGGTTGCTATAGGAAAAGGAGGTTGAACTACTGTGATCTGCCTCCAAGGCTGCAGCTAAAGAGAGAACGGGACCCAGTAAGAGCCTTGCTCCCACCAGCAGCCTCTCCTTCCAAACAGCAACTTCTCCTGGGTCCAAATCGAAATTCTGCCAATCTCGCAGGTCTTGATTGGGAAACAAATTCAAACAGGAACATAAGAGCAGACAGCTGTCTTTCATTTCCAGACTAGTTTTAAAAAAAAACAAATAGATGATTTGTTTGAGGCTCCAGATGCCATTTGACAAAAAACACAAGGGTTTGTCCCACTTTTCAAGCTTGAGTCATTCTCCCAAGTCCTTTAAGAAAACTCCACTGATACTAGAAGTTTGACCGAGAAAGAACCGAGACTGTATCATCGTTTCGAATTCAAAGTAAATGCAAAAATAGCAGCCTCACAATTTGTACACTTGTTTCGAAATCTCCATATGGGTCAAATCCTCAGACAGCATGAATTTGTTTAGCTTCAGTGACCCACTTCCAGCAGAAGACGTCAGGCCTGCACTGCAGGGCTAGTTGACCCTCTAGAAGCACTTTCTGATATTACTTTCCCAGGTTCATTCCTAATGGGTCAGCACACACTATGTGCATTTGCTCTCCCATTTCAAGCTGGGAAAAAGGCAGACTGTTAGCATTGGAAATTAGCCAGAGCAGGGGGATACCAAGATAGATATGCATAATTAGTTCTGCTTCCAGTTTACCACATTGAGATTTGTTCCCCCCTCGACTAAAAAAGCCCCAAACCAGTGCTCAAACTCATCATCTCCTCCCTGCTGCTAGGGCAACAAACGGAAAAAAAGCCAATGTCCCAGTAATTAAAAGATAACAAGGAGAACATTTACAGCTAGAGCAACAAACTGAAAAAAAGCCAATGTCCCAGTAATTAAAAGGCTGGATAAGTTCCCCTAGACCTTCTCTGACTTACTACAAGTTCAAGTGCTTTTCAAAGTAAGTGCACTTGACACTGGGCATTTTGTTTGCCTCCCCATTTACTATCCAAGCTAGGCAGAGTATTTCATGTAAGAAGACAACCCTAGTCTAGGTGACTGTATACACTCTGTAGTGCCAGCCAGCCAGCTCTGCACCCTGGGGCTTGATAAATCTGCCATGCTCAACAGCAGCTTCGAGTACTCAGATCTGATTTGTTCATGCACTTTGATTTAGGATACTTGAAAGAGCTTACCTCTTTAAATTTACTATCCATAAGGATGAGTTTCCGGACATCAGGCCTGGAACCGGTCCAAATTCCAGAGCTTCAGCGCAGCATTTCCTCGATTTTGCAAGGCTTTGCTTAAAGGCAGGTTCTTCCTTTGGAAGGGGAAAAAAAATGTCCATCAAGCTGGTGACTAAGTCCTTCAGTTCACCGTAACAGAGACCCGAAATGCAACAAATCCAGAGACAGGGTGTCTGTCAATTTCTTTGACCTATATTTCCATAAAATCATGTATACAACACTTCAGTGATGCTGTAAAATGTGAAGAAATTTATAATTACTGATGCTACTTCCAACACTGTGGCTTAATTAACTTCCAGGTAATGGACAGGTGCCCTAAGGATGAACACAAAGAGCTTTTTAAAGTTGCCATCATCTTTTGGAAGCCAAACTGTGAAAACCAACCGTTAAGAGATGATGCAACAGGAACAGGGTCTGAAGAGCAAATTCAAGCTTGTGCTGAACACTATGCACAAAGCTGAGAGTAGCTCCTTTGAAACTGCATGCAGAAAAAACTGCCGATCAATTATTTGATTTGGTCACCCAGTTTAGGAAGCTCTCTGTGCTGCCTCCTGCTGTTCCCGGGACTTTGTTTTGCACCCCATGGACAGTGTACGAAATTTGCTGGCCCGACGGAGCAGCAGAGCACCACTTGTGCAATCGCGCGTCTGTCAGTGGGTCCAGCAGCAAGCAGAGGAAACAAACTCAGCCTCCTGCTTGCTAGGCAGCCCCTCTGAAGGGGAAGGCTGCCTTTCCACCTCAGGCCTGTTACTCAGCGCCGCTTCCCGGCACCGCTCCAGCCCCGGGCTGGGCCTGCACCCCATGAGACACGTCTACCCGCAGCCAGGCAAGCCGCGGTTCTGGCCCATGGCTACGCTCCCCACACCATGTGGCCTCACCGTTGCACATCCCAGAGCTTTCAAGCAGTCAGATGGAAGTTGGGATGAGCTTTCCCAGACAGAGGTCCCCTGCAAGCGCTTGCATCCGTGTCCCCATTCCAGGCAGCCGGCTCCTGCTTGCATGTCTGCATCCCACAGAAATGCGCTGCCTACTGCTTTGCGGCTACCGAGGATGTTTCAAAGCAGAGCTCAAGCACGGGGCCGGATGAGAAAGCTCCCTGGCATGCACCAAGCGCTGTGCTTTGACGGCGGGCCAGCTCGCTCCGCACGGTGTCCGGCCCCGTGCCGGACGCTGCGCGCACTGAGCCCTCCTGCCTCGCTGTGGCAATGGGGGCCCGGGCGGCGGGCC